ACTAAGTGTTAGTATATTATATGGACTATGTCTGAAATAAACTTTTTGAATTTGAATTTGAATTTACAGCAAATTTGGGATGCCCGGTGTTATCGGCTGTATAGTCGGCACTCACATTGCCATTGTACGCCCAAAAGACCACGAGGAAAGTTTTTGCCGTAAAAATTATCACTCGTTAAATGTACAACTAGTAAGTTGAGTTATTTTCAAATTTAACATGTACTAATCCAGTCACGGGTTAGGGTACGAATAGCAATAACTTATTGTGGATCAAATGTGACTGTGACATGTTGTGATTATTTTATTCATTACAGATATGTAATGCAGACACGCAAATAATTAGCGCTGATGCGAGACACGGAGGAGCTACTCATGATTCGCTTATTTGGTCCCATCATCCCCTATATGCTTACCTAAATAACCTCAGCAGTAATGAAGGCCTATGGCTTCTTATTTAATATTCGAAAATTTACTAAGTTTCAATTTGGCAAGGTTATTTTTTATTATAATATATTTACAGATGATTCTGGATATCCTCTTAGGAGAACCGTAATGACACCAATATTGGATGCACTAGAAGGTCCAGAAGAAGAGAAGAGAGAACGATTGGTCTTCTGAAGGCACGTTTCTGTTGCCTACTCGTACACAGGACACTTCATTAGGAGCGACAAGTTGCAGGTTTAATTACAAACGAATGTGCAATATTGTATAATATTTGTAATTAAGCCAATGTTCCTGTTGAAGAACCGACACGAGAAGAAGCAAATAATGAAGCTGAATTGCAACCTAACATCATTGCGTATCGGGACGCAGTTGGTGTTGCAAACAGAGACTTGCAAGCGGGCATTTCATCTTGTGCGACGCTTAAGAGAATTCAGGCATCAACATTAGTTCCGATTGAATTAAAATTATTATAATATCTTTTTTTTAAATTATCTACCATTATTTAATCAATTCAAGCACTCACACCTATATTAATAAGTGTATAGGCATTTTAGACAAATGCGTACTATCCTAATTAACATCCGGTGAGATCGTGGCTAAGTGTGTCTATTTTATATAGAAAAATAACGAACAAACATAAATTGACAGCCGTCCCCACTAAACCAATTAAGGTCCAAAGTCACTTTAATAAGGAAAAATAATAATAATAATACTACCATGTAAATAAAAAGATTGCATAATTCATTTCAAACTTTAATTATTATTACTCAAAATTATACGTGCTAGAATAAAAAATTAAAACAAAATTACTCTTGCAACTGAAAGAAAGAAAGAAAGAAAATACATTTATTTGTTTACCACAATGACACCACAAAATACAAAAGACAAAAAAAAAAAGAGAAAACAGAACAAAACAGAACTAAAACAAAACATGATCAAACGAAAAAATTCAACGTAAAACAAATATATAATTACGAAACAAAAACACAAACACAAAATAAAAATGTATATACAAAAATTAGATAAAATTAAAACATGAACTATTCACACAAATAATAAAAAGAATACTAAATATTGAGATACCTTGTGTGGTGCCAGCCGCGGTAACAAAAGGGTCACAAACTCAGTATTTGCTGGAAAACGCAACGCGTTCCCAGCACTGATTTTCAGTTAAGACCCTAAGTGAGGTCACGGAACAACATATGCAAGCATATTTTGGTACTTGAATATAACAGTAAAATAATTATATATACGTACATATTAAAACTGTAACAGATGTGTGTGTGTGAGTGTGGGTGTGTGTGTTGTGTATGTTTAAATACTTCCAAATAATTTATATATAACTATGAAAATACTTTATAATAATTAATACGTATACACTATACCTACATCAAGCAACTAATATATTATATAACAAATGTGTATAAAAAGTATAAATAAATAGGTGCTGGAAAAAGTTAATACAATCCCTTTTGATTTTCCAGCAGGAGAGCCTTAAGCTTGCGCTTAAAAGCATTCCTACTAGAAGTGTCATGAAGAGGAGGGGGTAGATCATTCCAGCACTTGGATAACGCAAACCTGAAACTTCCTCTGAAAGCTGCTGTGCGGTGAGCAGGAACGATAGCCCGAACCTTGTATTTAAAACAGTTCTGAGACAAAAGAAGTTTGCGATAGAGATACTCAGGTGTCTCGGTTCTCACTACACCGAACAGCAACATAGAGAGGTGTAGCTGCCGACGAGCAGTCATATTTAAAAGGCTTGCAGCATTCAAAAACGGGGTGATATGGGATCTAGGAGGCACCCGAAAGCAAAAGCGTGTGCATGCGTTTTGTACACGTTGTATCAACTTCTTAGACCTACTAAAAATACAATTACTATATACTACATCACAATAGTTTAACCGCGACAATATCAGTGATTCACAAAGGTGTACACGCAAATCAACGCTAAGGTAATCACGAATACCATACAACAATTTGAGTCGATAAAAACAGTTACCGGTCACATTGACGATGTGCTCCTCAAAACGAAGTTCACTGTCCATCAGTACTCCGAGGTTTCTGACCCTATCGACCCGTTCCATTGGTTCACCCATAACCGCAATATTTCTGGAAGCAAGGGCTTCCAGTGTATTATGGATTTGACCCTTTGTTCCAAGCACCATGTACTTAGACTTACTCGGATTCAGTACTAGACAGTTCCTATCAGACCACGCCGCTATACGATCTAGATCAGCATTGATGTCATTGACTGAAGCAATAGTATCAGATGGCTTACCCGATATGTATAGTTGCAAATCGTCCGCATACAGGTGGTAGCTACAGTTTCTTATACTAGTAACGATATCGGCACTGTATAATATAAATAGTAACGGCCCTAAAATGGAACCCTGAGGCACACCTCTAGTTACAGGGCGGAGAGAGGAATACTCAGTGGTACCGTTAACCGTATGCAGTTCAACTATTTTAGCCCGACCCGAAAGATAGCTATGAAACCATTCGATGGTTTTAGTGTCAAATCCATAATACGACATCTTGGACAATAGAAGTGGTATGCTCAAACTTTCGAAAGCTCTGGAGAAGTCCAATAACACCAGAAACGTGCTTTTCCCAACATCCTGTGCTGCCAAAATATTGTCGACCACGTCCAGCAGAGCTGTTGCTGTGCCTCTACCCTTTCGAAAACCAGACTGGAATGCTGGAAGGATATTGGTCCTCTCCAGGTATTTCGAAAGCTGTTTACACACAACCCTTTCTATTATCTTGGACATGCACGGAAGAATGCTGATAGGACGGAGCTCGGACAAAGTGGAAGGATTATGCTTCTTTGGCAGAGGGACTACCTTAGCTGTTTTCCAGTCAGTCGGAAAAGTGCTGGTCTCGATGCTCTTATTAACCATGACCGTTAATATCTCAAGCGTTGTCGGAAGAGTCAATAGTAACATGTCAATGGTCATTTGGTCAATACCTTTTGCTTTGGTTTTTATTTGAGTCAATATACTCATCACTTCAGTCGTTGTAGTTGTCGCAGTGCAAAAGGTGTCAGGTCCATGTCGATTGTTTTCGTAATATATCAGGTCTGATATTGGCACGTCATTGCTACCAGGAACATTTAAAAAATGGTCATTTATAGCATCAGGGTTAGATAAGTGGGCGGGCAAGTCAAAGTCGTGTCTGTCAGGTACAAGAACACGTTTCAAATTTTTCCATAAAATTTTCGAGTTGGTACCTAAGTTGTTATTGATGAAATGATCAAAGTAGGTGCGTTTCTCACAGAACAAGGCTTCAATGACTACATGTTTAAGCTGTTTATAATATTTTTTATGAGCATCAAGTCCGGTATTCACATACCGTGCATGCGCTCTATCACGTAGTCGCATCATTCTTCTTGTCTTGAGTGGGGCATGTTTGTCAAATAGCTGCGTCAAGTAGTCAGTAAATAGTCGAATCATGTCATCCACATTGTCTAAATACCTAATAGAGTCCCAGTCGATAGATGCCAAGTCATTCTCAAATAGTGGGATAACGATAATAGTCAGAGGTCTAAAAGTCAAAACACGAAGTGAGGGCTTGATTTTCCTAATGTCAAGTTGAACAGTAATAAATGCGTGTCGTCCAAGATCAGGTATGTAGTTTACGTATACGCTATGTATTTTTGTATTACTGCATACTAGGTCGATCGTGGTCTGACTATGGTCAGTATAGTGTGTCGGCTCCTTAACTATTTGTTGTAGTGAAAATAAATTCAAAAATTCGGTTAAACATTTATAATACCTGTCGGTCGTATTCATAAAGTCAATGTTAAAATCACCTAAGATTATTAATCGATCATAGTTTCCAAAAGACGAGACTGTGTCAGTCAGTGAGTCGAAAAACAAGTCGGCATCCAACCACGGCGGACGGTAGGCTGTGCCAATAATTATCCTGGCCCCGCACACAACAGACGAAAGCCACATTTGTTCAACACGGAGTGAGGGAGGGTGAGGCATGGTTCTCGCAGCAATACCTCGACGAATGTAAAATCCTACGCCGCCTCCGCGCGAGCGCAGCTCAAGTGGCCGCGTCACGTGCCTCAGTCGGTAGCCTGGCACCGCCGGAGCACGACCCGTTTCACCCTCCCGCAACCAAGTCTCGTTTATTGCGACGATATCTGCATCAAAGTTACACATGGAGACTGTGAATTCATCATGTCCAGTTCCCAAAGAACCAGCATTCCATAGTCCAACTGAAAGCATCCTGGAAGGCGTCATTTTAAAGTGCTATAAGGAAAATAATTGTAACACTGAAAAGGGCAGCATCCATTGTGTAAGTAAAATACATAAATAACTATGATAAATAAAGGTGTGTGATATTTTACCACCGCGTGGCTGAATACAATAAAATTAAAAGTAAATAATAATAAAAATAGCATGTTAATGTGTGATTGTGCTTTGTTACAGACCTCATCATTTGCCAACGCACCCATGTACCACACAAAGTACCTACAATTGTAAAAAAACATGAAAACATACAATATAACAGAACATAGACAATACCTAACGGCAACACAAAAGATTTTATTGCACATTCTGAACACCAACAACCTGTTCGCGAAAAATATTTTGTATGTCAGTCTCCCGGCGTACGCGGTGCGAGTGTTCGCCCTCAGCACGTCGAACAAAGATACGCCCGTCCCGGGTCCATACGAACCTCCACGAGGCAAGCCGGCATCGGTCTCGGACTTTTTGGAAGAGCTCCTGGTTTCGGCGCGTGAGCCGCTCATTGACGTAGAACGGGCGTGCTTCGCCCGCAAGCCCACAGTCGGCCGTGGTGGCCCCCCGGCGCACGCGCGCCGCCCGCAACAACTCGCTACGGGTCACCCGCCGAGCCAGACGCACTACTATGGGTCTTGGCCGACCGCCCTCACGCCGCACACCCAGACGCTCAGCGCAGACGATGTCCCGCTCATCCAGCTTCACACCGAGCTTGGTACCGATCGTCGCGACGATGTGCAACACACTTTCACCGGCTCCCTCAACGACGTTCGTAATCAGCACATCGTTGTCGAGACGCTCTTGGTCTCTGTTGTGCAACTCGAGCTGAAGATTGGCCACCGCTTCCTCCAACACCTTTACGGCACTGTCGTTGACATTGGTAGCCATTCTTTCCTCGACGTTGTCCAGCCGGCGGTCGATGTCGTCCATCCTCGCAGTTATCGGCGGCAATGAGGCCCGAAGTTCGAGAAACTCGCCCCGGAACTCACGGATCTCTCTCCGGATCTCCTGCAACTCCTCTCGAAACAACCGGATTGCGACTGCGCGCACAAGCACGAAGAGCGAGTGGTGGATGGTCGATGTTTCAACGGTCGGCAGGTGGAAGGCTGAATTATAGAAACAAAGAGTGGTAAGGTGATGATATTCTTAATCTTTGTGTGTACGCATCCTGACTGACAAAAATAATGCAGAAACGAAACTTATTTTTACCGACTTTCAATTCTTCCTAACGTTTCTTGGATTCCTTTGAGGACATCTAAAAGTTGTAAAAGTAGGCGGCTATTAGCTTCTTCTATATTGGCTCTTCTATCAGAGCTCTCTAACAAGCGGTGACGGGCCGTCTTCGCTGTAAGTACTCTACGTCGGTACTGTCTGTACCACCGACTATGGCGCGTCGATAAGTACACCTATGCTGTCTAGTACGTCAGGGTCAGGCTCTACAACCACAACAATTGGTACCGACGACGAATTACTCAGTGACGATGCCTGTAAAAAATCAAAAAAATTAAAATGTTTCCTACTAAATTGTATACTTTTATACATCACAAAGAATATTGTTTTGTCATACCACAGATTGGCGCTGATTGCCAACTTGGTCATGTTCTGCGCTTGCTTGATCCACCATCTACAAGAACAATCGTGATCTATCAATAATTCTATATTATAACTATAATTCTGTATAAAGAAAACAAATAAGTTAATGATTTACCAACATGTTCAAATGAGTCAACACGTACGCGAATTGAGTGCGCGGCCCTTGGCGCAGGATAAATATATGTCATTCCACAAACTTTTCAAACAAACGAGGTCATTAAGGAATTATTATAATTAGTATTGTCTTTTTCTGATGACTGTGAAATAAATATCTTGTCAGTTTATTCATATTGTTTCTTTGGTATATACATCTGACAGAGGAAACTTAGAATGTAGTTCGGTCACAGTCGATATTCTCCCGTCACTATAGCATTAGGTAACTAAATATCTATCTATCTATTAGATACCCAAATTTGGTAAAGTGATAACCGGGATTGATTGATCTACACTGTATGTAAAGTAGGGTATCATTGACCAGATTTCCAAATATATATTTTTTTATTTAAAAAACTTACCTCAAAAGTTTGCTTATCGGCCTTTTTATTGGACTTACAAATATTTGCCAAGTTTTAATGAGATCGGTTAAAGAAAAGACTGCGAAACCGTATTCATTCCTTAGTTCGACCCGTAACTTGATATTAAAAAAAAAATTGCCACCCTAAGGCTCAACACACACTGGCGCAGAGTCGAGTCATGTTTTTCGCCTATAGCATATTCACCTCCATTTTCCCATTATTAAGGTACAAATTTGTGTTATGCAAATATGGAATCGCGCGTCGATGCTTGGTTAAAGTCGAGCTTTTTCGCGCGTCGCCGTGCATGCCTTGCGCGCAGTGACGCGTCAGACGTCGACCACACTGTGACCCGAGCGCGCTAATGCGAGCGACGACGGGCGTCGTCATGCGTTGTAGTTGAAAAACAGGACGCGACGCTTCGACTCTGCGCCAGTGTGGTTTGAGCCTTAGAGGTTGAATATTTTCTTCAAATTTAATCAGTATCTTCATTCCAACAAAAATGAATCATCAAAATCGGTTCATAAATGCCGGAGTAATCGCGTAAAATATGCACAAAAAGTCGAATTGAGAACCTCCTCCTTTTTTGAAGTCGGCTAAAATGTGAAAACTGATCTACGTTCGACCTAGTGTCTGGTTTATGTAGAGTCATCAATATTTTCAAGTATCAATTAGGAAACTACAACAATGGATCAAATAAATAAAAAAGTTTATAATTATTATTAAATCTTTGTTTATTTAACCATAAGTAATAAGCAAAAATTGTCACATTCTCATATATTTACAAAATAATGTACTCGAACACATGACATTTTATTACATGAAATAATAATACAACTAAACTAAGTAGACATAAAATTAAAAATATTTTATTTTATTTATTTTATCATCTTAGGGGAGCTCACAGTTACTTTTACAACATGGATTTAAACTTAAATAATCAGATGCCAATTAAAAGCTTCCACTTATGAAAATTAGAAAATAGCATTAGCATAAATAACTAAACAGGTAACACATCTATGAGAACACAACAATCGCTTTATCAGGCACTTGAAAACAAGTTATTACTATTAGTCATAATAGCTTTTAAAATGACTTTATTGGTTACATACATGTAATTGAATATTCAGTCTGCATCATCAACTTTACAATCATATGTTGAAATGAAAAAAAAAACGCATCGCAAGTATATAATTGCACAAAAACAAAACGAAATTTAATTTATTTATTTATTATATTACATATTGCTTACAGATTAATATCGAAACACAATAGTAATTCTTAAGCTAATATCATAGATTAAAATAATAATGTAATCATATTAAAAAAAAATTGGTACAAAATAAACTGAATGAAAATTTTACAAATCATTGAATTTTTATATTGCATAAAATAAACTAAATAAAAAATTAGATAAAAATAACAAATCATGGAATTGGACATATCGCGCAAGTACATTATTAACAATCAAATTTTAAAACTAACATAGTATTAATTATTCGGGATGCACAATACTTATATGATGCTACTGTCTATGGTCAATGACTCGAGATTATATTATTGTAATAGATAATATTATTGTAAATTGGTATCAATAACATTTTGTGAAAATATCTGGATAGTATTGGCCAAGTTTTTATGTGTACATGCACTGAGTGGTCACATACAACTTCTGCTAATGCAGTATTGGTAAAACAATTACGAAACACGTCCGTAGAGTTTCTAAAGTAATTAATAAAAACAACCTTCAATCTATGGCCTCCAGTTTTCACAGAGGACCTACCAAATCTGGGAACTTAAGATTACGGGAGTGTATTGCGTACGAACATTCAATAAGTTTTTACCACATAACAAATCATACAACATTGTTATTCTGCTCAGTGCCCCCTCAGTTTGAACACACGTTTATTAAGAGAATGCGGTACTTTGCTTGAGTCGAGCGGCGGCAGGGGCACTGGGCACTGGGCACTGGCTTTATTTGAGAAGATTTTTTTACAAATAAAAATTAAGGCCATTTACAAAATGTACATCGTATAGTATACGTGTTCTATTTAGTTCAGTTGATGTTTAAAAAAAAGGTATATGTAAAGAACTTAGTGAATACACCGGTTTTCTTGTAAAATTTCGAGGTAAGTTTGTGTTTTTTTTTTCTATCGTGATAATTTTTAGGAAATGCATTTTCACACCGTATAGTAATCAGTGCACATCCCCAATTCTTCCTTACATTTTTTTCAATGTGATTGACTGAACACTTTCACTGTTATGCGAAATCAACCAAAGCCATTTGAGGTTGTATAGGCTCTTAACAGCGTGCAATTTTTAGTAAAATAGGTAGTTATGGATTTGCTACGTTGCCACTTTGCGCACAAATGAAGTAACTGAGACGAGTTTTGATAAAAAAAGAACTTTTATTCTAATTCCAGCCTAACCAAATTTATGCAATAATTGAATATTATGGTGGTCAAATATCGTAACATTCAATAAACTTAAAAAATACACACATAACATTTTGACGCAAAATTGTTTGCCATTCGCCCAACATAATAAGTAAAAGAGGTCAATCAAGATTTAGAAGGGTAAGTGATAAAGAGCTGCGTGATGTGCGCGTCCTCTCAGCGACGACATAGACGTTCACGTTGCACACCTCCGGACATAGTTCCCAACGCACTCAAATGCAAAAGGATTAGCATTGGCCTAGAAACCAACTCGCACTCCCCGATAATGCACAGAGTACACAGAGGACGCGGTCGTGGTGTCAGGTGTCACACTCCATCGGGAGATAATGGAGGCGTTATCCTGGTCCGGTAGCTGGACCGAAGAATTCTCGAGTACAACCTTTACACGTTCGCAACGTGCAACGGAGCGTCCAACGCTGACCTCACGCTGAAGACAAGTGTGACGGTGTAGAGAGTGCGCGAGAAAGTTGTAGAGAGCAATCAAAGTCGCATAACGTTCGTGATAGTGAGCAACCTCTGCCCAGCTCTACGCCCCAGTGAACTAAACAGCTGATGAGGTTTCGGGATCGCGGAGAGCTGGATAGAACAGGTACACTGAAATCCATTGGCCTCATGATGTAGTCGACAGTTCAATAATAATGTGATGAAAATAGACACCATAAGCGTTTTTAAAAGGGAATAATATACATGAATAAAAAGGAAAAACGCAGAACTGCCTACTTCTTGCTATTAAAAAATGATAATGGTGTTGGCCGCCAACATGCTACATCGAAATGGTTGAGGAATGAGTCCCCGAAATCAATTCATTAGATTCTCGAGGTTTCAAATTAGCATTCACTGCTCCGACTTCGGCGTGACGCAGGCCCGTGTCCTGGGCGTGGTGCTTGACGATGCGAGGTCCTACGTGCAGCATGCACTGTTCATCGGCGAGAAGGCGGCGAACTCCTTCGGGAAGATAGCGCGAGTATCTGCATCGACTTGGGGCATTAAGTTCCCCGCCCTCAGGGTCCTGTTTTCAGGGACCTATGTGGCGGTCCTTTCTTATGCTGCTGCCGTATGGTATCATCGCTCGTCAATATACCCGGTGAGGAGAGCGTTACTCCGTACGCAAAGACCAGCCCTTATTTTGCTAACGAAGGCTTACAGGTCGGTCAGCTCGGCAGCGTTACCTGTGCTTGCGGGCGTATTTCCCGCCGACCTGGAAGTGCTTCGGGCCGGGAGAGTTGAGAAGGAGAGTCCCCAACTGGCCTACAGGGAGCGTAGGGAGATAAAACGGGAAATTAGAGGGGAAGTCGTCGCTCTTTGGCAAACACAATGGACTTCGTGCGACAATGGTCGCGAGCTGTACAGTTTCTTCCCTGATATTTCCGCCCGACTCTCCTCAACATGGGTTGTGCCGGATTACATGGTATCCCAACTGCTCACCGGACACGGCTGCTTCAGAGCACGTTTGCATCGTATGAAGCTGTGCGATTCTGCGTCGTGTCCGTGCGGTGAGCCCAGTGAGAGTCGCGACCACGTATTGTGGGAATGCAAGCTATACACACTGCAGAGAAACATCATGCTGGACAGCCTGCAGCAAACGGAGTTCGGTCCGGCATATTTTAATACCCTCGTTGCCAGCTCAGGGAACTTTGGAAAATTTTGTGAGTTTGCGCACTCGTGGCACATTTTACGACGTGAATACGAAGCCTAGCGCCCATACGTCGGGGCGGTCGTCGCGAAGAACTGTGTGTGTGCTGTACACGCCCCAGAAAGGGGGGAAGTGATACACAGAAGGGACAAGGAAACAGAATTTGTAGGGAGTCAAGAAGCGCTCCACGGGAAGAGCCATCGTGAGCGCCTCCCGCGATTAGGTCCGTACGCCGAGAGGCAGGAAGGACCATGGGAGGTGGTGGGTTTGCTCCGACTTCGGTTGACAATTGGCACGTGCCGCAACGCAGACCCCAACCCTGCCAGCGCAGGTGCCCCCAACCGTCCCCAGTTACGCCAATGCGCTCAAACTACCCAAAGGCAAACCGCCCATTGAGGTCCAGCAGAAGGGTCCAGCAGTGCTGTTCTACCCAAACAGCGAGACCCTCAAGTCCTCGCTTGAGACCAAAATGGAGCTACAAAAATCCATCCAGCCCTCGTCACAGGGCATCCGAATCCAAAGTGTCAGAATGATCGGAAACTCTGGGGTGGTGGTGCGTACGGCCACGGCCGAGGCAGCAGAGAAGCTTAAAGCTGCTGCTCCTCCATCACTCAAAGTATCGGAGCCCAAAAGTCGCCTGCCCCGGGTGGCGCTGCGCTACTTACGTACAGACTACCCAGCCGATGAGCTCATTGAAGAGCTCCATAGTGTTAATCTCTGCGACGATCCGGACTGGAGCCTCGATAAGATCAAATCGAACTGTAAGGTCGCGTATAAGCGCTCATATGGCCCCAAGGTCTTGGTCATCCTGGAATGCTCGCCAAGTCTCCGGGACAAGCTGATCCAGTTGGGACGGGTGTACGTAGGTTGGGACGAGGCCGAAGTGTGTGACCACGTCAGAGCCACCTGCTGCAACAAGTGCCAACAGTATGGCCACCCTGAAAAGTACTGCCGCGCGCCGACAATGACCTGTGGCAAATGTGGAGACTCTGGGCACCGTTCTGCGGAGTGCCAATCAACTATCCAGTGCTGCGCCACCTGCAAAAGGTTCAAACGCAAAGACTCTTCAACGCACCCTACCGGGGCCATCAACTGTCCGGCGCGCCTACATGCAGAGCAACTGGCGCTTAACATGATCCAGTATGCATAAAACGTTAAATATAGCACAGCTGAACCTACAGGGCTCTGAGGCCGCCACTACTGAACTACCAGTGGTAGCGCAGACGTGCAGGCTTGATCTTGCTCTCGTTCAGGAGCAATATCATAGCCGTCCCGGTATATTGCAGTGTGGCGAGAATCCCAAGGCTGGCATCCTAATATTCAACCGGAACATCGCGTGCACCATTCTGCACCACCTTAGCACGGAACACTGTTTGGTCGCACACGTGGAATGCGAAGGGGTTGCACTACACGTAGTATCGGCCTACTTTCAATATAGCCAAGACATTGCACAACATCTGCAACATCTCGAGACCGTGATGAACCGTCTGTCGGGGGTCCCCGTCCTGATTGGCGTAGACAGTAATGCTCACTCGCCTCTATGGTTCTGTGAGCGCCGCCAATATGTGGGCCGCGGCCCCGATACAGATTACAGGCGAAACAATATGGAGGGCTTTATCTTGGGTAGGAATCTGATGCTGCACAATCAACCAGACCAACCGCCTACATTTTGTGGACCAACAGGTTCGTCCAACGTGGACCTCACATTAACAACGCGAGGTATGAATGTATCAGAATGGAAAGTCCACGAGGGTGCCAGCCTTAGTGATCACCAGCTGATAACGTTTACGATAGCGACAACAAGGTTGACTGCCTCGACCGACATCGGTGGGGTGAGTGTGCCGACTACCATCTTTCGGGAACGCGGTGTAGATTGGAGACCGTTTTGCTCGGCTCTACACGCCCGCATGGGTAGACTACGCGTTCGTGGTCCTGCCGGTCGGCTATGCGAAGAGTACTCGGACATCTTATTAAAAACGGCACGCGAATACTTGGGACGCATTGCGAAGAGGAACGACGGCAGGTACGAGTGGTGGTCCCCTGACCTGGATCGTATGCGACTTGAGGTTGCCCTGGCTCGACGCAGTTGGCAGGCTTCTCGCCGAAATGAGGGTGACCGGGAGAAGGAACTCCATGACATGTTACGCGCTGCCCGCATCCGCTATAAGAAGGCTATGAAAAGCGCTGAACTGGCCTTCTTTCAGTCCATCGCGGACTCCGGTAATGATGATCCATGGGGGTTGGCCTACCGTGAAGCTTGCGGGCGTATCCGTCCTCATGCAAATATAATGAACGGCGCCAAACTCGTGGACGGTTACACAAATACTACGGGGGACACCATGTCGGGCCTTCTACGTGTCCTCTGCCCGGACGACCAGGCCGACCGAGACGACGCTTTCCACCGCGAGGTCAGGCTATCTGCGGCGATCTGCCCAACAGGAAAGGACTGCGATACCCCAAGTAGGTCTACCATAGAGAACATTATCCGGAAACTACCGAACACAGCTCCTGAAATGGACGGTATCTCCGCGAAGATCGTGAAGTGGGCCTGGAACGCCTCCTCCGATGAAATGTGGCGGATCTACCTGCATTTCTGCATTTCTGAAGGCGTCTTCCCGGACATTTGGAAGACTGGCAAGATAGCTGTACTGCCCAAGGGAAACGGCAAGCCTCTCTATGACCCTAAAGCTTATCGTCCGATTACGCTGCTCCCAATCTTTTGGAAAATTCTAGAACGCGTCATACTCGCCTGCGCTCCCTGCCTCTATCGTAACATTTCATCCTCGCAACATGGTTTTACCCGTGGTCGTTCGACGGTCACGGCGCTCAACGCAATAAATGCGATTACTGATAGATCCGTGGAAAACTACGTGCAGCTGATCTTTTTGGACATCTCAGGTGCATTAGACAACGCCTGGTGGCCGATGATAATCGCGAAAGTCAAACAGTGTGGCATTCCGCCCAACATCTACCGCATTCTAATCAGTTATTTTTCTAACAGACGTGTAGGGTTAATCGTCGGCCAACAGGTGGTGTGGAAAACTTCCACCATGGGATGTCCACAGGGATCAGTTCTGGGACCGACATTGTGGAACCTCCTTCTCAATGATCTACTGCAGCTACCAAAACCGGACGGAGTAAATATGGTGGCATACGCAGACGACGTCACGATCGTTATCGAAGCACCTTCGCGTGCCGTCATCGAGTCCAAAGCCTTGACCATTCTCACCGCAGTGTCCCAATGGGGAGGTCGCAACCGTCTGGGCTTCTCGGCGGGCAAGTCGCAAACTATGACTTACAAAGGAAGATTTAAACGTTCGCCAACCACAAGAATGGATGGTGCTTCGATACCGAGCGTGACGCAGGCCCGTGTCCTGGGCGTGGTGCTTGACGATGCGAGGTCCTACGTGCAGCATGCACTGTTCATCCGCGAGAAGGCAGCGAACTCCTTCGGGAAGATAGCGCGAGTATCTGCATCGACCTGGGGCATTAAGTTCCCCGCCCTCAGGGTCCTGTTTTCAGGGACCTATGTGGCGGTCCTTTCTTACGCTGCTGCCGTATGGTATCATCGCTCGTCAATATACCCAGTGAGGAGAGCGTTACTCCGTACGCAAAGACCAGCCCTTATTTTGCTAACGAAGGCTTACAGGTCGGTCAGCTCGGCAGCGTTACCGGTGCTTGCGGGCGTATTTCCCGCCGACCTGGAAGTGCTTCGGGCCGGGAGAGTTGAGAAGGAGAGTCCCCAACTGGCCTACAGGGAGCGTAGGGAGAAAAAACGGGAAATTAGAGGGGAAGTCGTCGCTCTTTGGCAAGCACAGTGGACTTCGTGCGACAATGGTCGCGAGCTGTACAGTTTCTTCCATGATATTTCCGCCCGACTCTCCTCAACATGGGTTGTGCCGGATTACGTGGTATCCCAATTGCTCACCGGACACGGCTGCTTCAGAGCACGTTTGCATCGTATGAAGCTGTGCGATTCTG